TTCTGGGAGAGCAGTATTGGTCCTTGGGCCCTTGTCCTGGATGCATCGTGAAAGCAGCCCTGGAGCTGACAGAAAACTTGCAGGCAAAAGAATCACCTGACATAATGCAGCTCTGTTAGCGAAAGGCAAAGGGGAGGAAAGCCCTGCTGCAGAGATGTCATTGTGGGCTTCCATGATCCTCCATTAAAACTGCAGTGGAATCTGCAACTCCCTGACCAGGCAACTGCTAGAAAAATGAAAGGAGACAAAAGTTCCCTAAGTTATTTTGTATTTCTAATGTTGATGCAACTGCCTTGCTTCAGTAGCAGAAGCATTTCACAAAAATGCATTATACCACATCTGCAGTAAAAGGAGAAATGTTAAAGTTTATTTTTTTCAATTGAAACTCTGCAATGCTCTGAGATAGTTGGCTCTAACAGTGATTTTAAATGATTAAGATCAAATGGAGGAATAGAACTGAAAGAAATCCTACAGACTACAATCTTCCTTTAGTGATCACACATAACATTTGTAGTGTTTTGAACTGCTAATGTAGGGCCCACAAAAGAGCTTACAGGTCACTTCAGAAAAAGCATACAATACAGGCTTCAATGAAGACAATGAAATGGATAATTTTAACTACAAGCAATGGTAAATTGCTAATTAATTTAATACTTTAGAAATGCTCCTTTTGTTTACAAATTTTTATCATACAAAAGAATTAGCAATTCTAACACTCCAGGTCAACATAGTTTCTTAATAATTTCTAATGACATTGTACATACAATGTCTACAACTACAATACTGACATCATCAAATTTTGATTTAAACATATCATTAATATCCATAAATACAAATACATAAACATTGAAAGAAATGCTGCATTACAGGTCAGAAGGTTCAAAAGTCAGACATTCACGCAAGTCCTGAATATTGCTGCCACCTTCAGGAAACATATGATAAAAAAGGACCAAAATATTAATTAGAAAAGAAATGGAAAATAAAGTCAAGATCTAAGAGGCCACTTGGTTATTATGCTGTAAAATTAATTTTCATAATGGCATATAAAGATAGTTTTATTATCTCAATTTCCAATAAAGACCTAAGTCTGATGCTAAGAGATCTGCCTAAGGCCAGTCAGAGCTAGTAACACGTCCTTGGCTCTTTGAAGTTCACAAAAAGAAAGTTGTGGATCAGAAAATTGTTTTATTGGCATTTGGATATTTACATTGTCATTGAAGCTTATTTTGTCTTTGATTCTTTGAGGTAGCTACTTAGCATTGCAATATAAATTTTATCACCTCAGTTCCAGTAGTTACTTTTACAACGGCAAGCAGAGCATCTATTGAAAGTGCATCATAAAATACAGATGGAAAAATCAGTACCGATATATTCACTAAGCTATATTTTTAATCAATAACATTCCTGATTGTTATTGGACAGGCTAGTTCAGAGCTGATGCTTTACAATGTTATGCAAGAGTCCTATTGATTTCCTGCCAGTCTCTCACTTTTCAGAAAAAAAGTGATCAGGAACAGCAAAGTAAGATCTTCAGTCTTTTTGAAATGTCAGCATACCTTAAGTTTAATCACCAAATAAGCAAACTGACCCAATTTAATTTTTTGATTCCTGTAATAATTTACATGCATCTCATACCAGCTTAGCTCTCAACAGGTATGTACAAAGTCATCTGATGTAACTTTAGACCTGTCAGGACACTTTACATTTTCCCTGTTATGGAAGTGATATAAATTGTTTTAACACAAGATTTCTAAGAGCAGCTGATCACATAAGTGTTCCAGCCTGCAACCCTCATGATCATTTAGCCACCAGTTGCTGCGTGTTTGTTTTAATGGAAACATCTATCCAGGGGTTAGTATTTCCCCAGAGTGCACAGGGAGGAAAGGACACACGGTCTCCAAAACAGAAAATTTTATTTTAAAAGATTTTCCCATAAGCTGTAATATTTTAAGCAGTTTCCTTTTTTTGGTATTCATTATTAGATTATGATCTAATGATATCTTAAAACATATTCATTGTTCCTCCAAATTTGGGAAACTGCCATAAGTGTGATGTGAGAGGGCAACAAATGCTACAGCATTCATACAAGGCTGGTGAAGTGTCCTCATCTTTTATCTGGAGTCTCAAGCACTGCTTAAGGGATGTCAGTATGCAGAAATGTGGTGAAGACTTCTTGTGCTACCTCCAGAACCAGAATTCACACTTATTTCTCCTTTCCTAACTTATTTCTTCCTTTTCATATCTTAGTCACAGTTTGGGAAACTTCAAAGTGAGGACACCTTGGATCCTTCTGCTCTTGATTTAGCTCTGAAAAGGGAATATAGAAAGTTGGTTTTGTTTTGGTTTGGTAGGGTTTGTCTTAGTCAAATGGAGTTTGCCTTCCCTTTTAGTTCTTTGGAATATAGTCCTTTGAAAACTGTATCAGCCAAGAAAGGCTGATAAACTGAAATTTCAATAGATACTGGCTGTGCAAAATTTTTTAATCAGATACTAAACCCCAGTTTTTTTAGTAGGTTCTACATATAGAGTTGGTCAAAGTCTTAGCTAAAGAGTCTCGGAGAAACTAACAGCTCTGCATCAACTATATAAAATGAAAATTTCTCCAAACCTTTGTGTGTCATCCAGAAAAAGAGTGGTCTTGTGGGAAGTTTTGGAGAAGGAAAAGGGAAAAGTCAGAAAGAGCAGAAAGAGGGGAGAGAAATTATGTCCTGGTTGTAATGACATAAGCACCAACACAAGCTGTTTCCAGTATTATCCAACTGTAAAGAAAATTCTTCTGGCTTTCACAGTTTTCTTTTTTTCTGGTCAGCCACATTGAAGACCACTGCAGAAACGTTTCAAATTTACAGAAATTTGGCATAAACTGATAAATCAAATTCTGGGACAGGTTCAAGATATGGCGAGAAAATCATATCAAAATAAACTTTTCTATAATACTTAAATTACAGTTCCATAATGTTTCATAGTTTGAAACTCTGCTTACCTTATATGCTACACACTTTAAGAATTTGTGTATTGTTTCCCTCAAGTTTCTAAAATTATAGAAGTCAGCACTGTGACTTTCTAACAATGCTGAGATCTTATGAAGACTGTGCCTTCCTGAACCAGGGTCAGGAGCCAGGCTTTCCTGTTTGTACAACCGAGGGAGAAGATCTGGAATATTTTTACCAAGGAGAAAGAATTCCTAGAGCAAGAGAGAGTGAAATTTCACCAGTATGAAATCCACACGAACAATTTCACAGTGATTGCAACCTCTCTCATGTGACAGACATCCATCCATGAAAACACACTGTACTTCAGAATGGTGATGCTCACTCTGGAGTACCACCCTTGGAGGGTGTCTGCCTGGATGTATCCCAATAATCATGGCCAACAGCATCTGAGGTGTGACAGCTTTGCTCTCAAGAAAGGGCTCCAAGTTCAAATGGCTGCAAAACATGGCTAAAGAAGCTGGCTGCAATATAGAAGGTGGGAGAGGGTAGAAAGGAATGGAAGGATTTCAGAAACATGGCAGGCATCATGAGGACATCTTTCTGTGATGCCACTACAAGCCCAACTTTTCTTATAAGGTTTTTTAAGATAGGGAAGGCTTGTTAAAGTGGAGGCTCTTTCAGTAAGGACTATGAACATGGATTTTTTTCTATTCCTTATCAGCTATGAAACTGAGATGCTGTCACTTGAATCAGTGCTTGCGAAGTGATAAAGGAATTGGAAGTGTTGCACCACTGCACCTTTTAGTGGGTAAGAGGACAGAAAAGAAGCAAACTATTCTGCTGCCTGTACAGGAAGAGCCTGGCGTGGATGTGGAATAAGCTGCTGTAACGTGTAGCCCATTCCAAACAATGCACTTAGAAGATGGGGAACAGTGCATGGCCAAGCTACCACGACTCTGGTCAGTTTACTGGAGCTCCTTTGCAAGCAGAAGCAAGCAGACAATTTTCTGATTTTATTTTGTGGGTATCAGAGCACACTAGCCACATCCAAGCACTGAATAGCTCACTGCTAAAGGTATCACAGAAACTTTGTTGCCACCGATCAAAATCCGGTTTCTGAGAACCAGTAGTAAGAGAAGTTTGTGTTGCTCCTGAATAGTCCCTTTTCATTAGAAATATGGGAGTTTAAAAGCTTAATTCGACTGTGCAAGTGGATTCCCACAACTAAGTAGGGGTCTGTTAACTGAAGGGGCTACAGGCTCAGTTAAAGGAACAAGTGCTCAGGTAAGGTTAGCGTTACATGGAAGATTAACATTTAAAGGACACATCATCATGGAAGATTAGCATCACCCAACATCAGAATCATTAGAAAAATGTTGGAGGAAAGGATAATAATGCACTATGTAACACCTCACATGCAAGCACTGGAAAACATCATTACGAGTGTTTACGGTAACTAAATTCTGGTTTATTATAGCTGACCTAATAGAAATTATTTAATATTAAATAATAGCTTTTGTGTTATGAGTTTATTTGAATTTATTTGTTGGAGAGAAAAAAAAATACTATTTGATATCTTTGTAATATTTCTTTCACCACTGGAATGGAGAGCCAAAGAGGACTGAAAAATTCCATGCCTTTCGTAACTGTATTTACTGAGACAACCTGCTCCCCTGCTGATGTAAATTGGGAATAATGGCATGACTGCATTCCTTTGATTTCAGTGCGAAACCTGAGGGCCACCACCCCGGGCTGAACAGGGAGGACCCTGAAGCCAGGAAGCGCTGAGTTGTGTGAATCCTGAGCTGTGCTGGGATTGCCCATATCAGCAAACACATCCCGGACCGCTTCTCCCCGGGGTGAGCCCTCACGGCGGCTGCCACCGCAGCACCGCCATCCCGCGCGGGCGGGGCCGGGCGGCCCACGCGGTCTCTCGCGATGTTTCCAGGGCCCGGCGAGACTCGGCGGCGGCGGCGCCGTGGTTGCCAAGGGCCGCGGCCGCCCAAGGTGAATCCCGGCGGGCTGCGGGGAGGGACGGGGAATGCGGGGATGCCGGGGCGGGGGGGAGCGTGGCGGAGCCGAGTGTGACCGGGCAGGGCTCCCCCGCACTGTGAGCGCCGGCTGAGGAAAGCACTTGGACCCACCGGCTGCTCTCCTCCTCTGTGGGTTGTCCCGGGAATGCTGGTTGCCGCCCCGCCCCGGTGCGCACCCGAAGGACGGGCGGTAAAGCGCCAGAAGGGGCAGGGATTCCCGCCCTGCTCGCGTTCTGGGAGCTGCTCTCCTCGGCTCGTTGCTAAAATTGCCTCCCTGCCCAGGCGAAGGTTGGTGTAACGATAAATGCTGGCAGCAACAGGCCGCTGCTGAATCGTTGCCCGAATTGTGGGACAGGATTTACATTTGGGATAGTGCCGGGACCTTGGAAAGACTGCCCAAACTGGGCTTAGGGCAAAGTTGTAATTTAGAGAGAAATTGACCATTTAAATGTTGCCTGGAAACTGAGTGAGGGCTGTGCCTGCTGGGAAATAACCCCCAAAGCAACAGCCACCAAAAAACCAAGCATAACAAACCGTAAACCATTACAAATTAAATATAAGATGCGTATCTTTGTTAGTTATTACACAGGTGAGGTAAGACATCGAGGCAAACTGGAGGTGGAGCTGTAATATTCTCATGATTTCTCTCTATGAATAACCTGGGCAGGGCTTTGCACTGACTGCTAATGAGTATCTGGATACCTTGCATTTCTAAAAATGCCTAGTTACACTAAAATACTTGGCGATTTATTTTTTTCCCCAGAGGAATAGGATATTGTCTGATGTTTTTACAGACCTAAAAGTGCATTAACTTTGGCTAAGTATTTTGAGATTCTATAAGAAAAAGAAGGCTGCAAATCAGTGAGTTAAGATTATTGCAAGGGATTTGGGGTATTGTGATTGTTTGCTGGGAGTTTAGTTTAATGACATTTCTGTAAGATGATTGAGTTAATATTGAATAATGATAGGTCTAAGTAAAATGTTCAGCAACTGTGCTACTTACCACAGAAGAGTGTTACCTTGATGAACTATTACCTTTCATAAAAGAACTCTTCCAGCTGGTGCTATATGGCTTTTTTTTTTTTCCCCTGCTGGTTGATACTATTTGATACTTAAATAGTAATTTGCTATACTATCTCTTTCAAGTGTGTCTGTATTGTTTATTCACAGGTGCTTAGAGATTTAATTTTCTTTAAATTTAATTTAAAATCTTCAATTTTTAATTCAAAAAAAGTCAAATATCTCTAAGTAATTTTTCCTTAAACAGGCTAGAAATATATAAGATAAAACTGCCACCAGGGTTTGAATGTCTTCCTCGCCATTTAAAGATTTTTAAGCCATTTATTAATAAAGGTCAAAAATGAGGTTGTATTTTTTTTTTTTTTTTTGCAGTTCTTGAAAATTTAACTGATTGTACACCTTCTGGACTTGGCAGATGTTTCCAATTTCTTACTGCTTCTTCTCCTCACAGTTTTTCCCAGCAGTTTCCATGTAATTTGACAGAACTCTGTCAGGTCACTGCTGTTGATTAGCACAGGGCAATTAAACTGTTCTGATAATTCCACCTGGCCCTTGCAAAAGCTGACAGCACTTTCAGTCATGGGCACAGCAGTAGCTCTGACTGGAGGGATTCCAGAGTCAGAACTGGGTAGTAATAGTGGATGAGAAGCGGGTGAAAGATTATTTATAAAGCTTTCTATTCAAGTTACTGTCATTATATCTGTTAAACCTTCCCTTCTTTTTATTTTTTTAGCTTGCCATGTAGTCTTGTGCCTCTATCATGGACAAGTACAAATAGGAATATTTAGGCTTTCTTTAATATAATATCTCCTTTAAGAATATTCTGCTAAAAAAACAGGAGTTTTAGTGAAACTGATTTGATTGTTTTGTTTTCAGTTGGTCTTGAGATAAGCTCTGTCAGATATTTCTTATCTGTGTTTATGACAATACTGTTGATAACAGTAAAAAAGTGACAATTTAAGCGATATGTGCTTTTCTTAGCATCTTGAAGAAAAAATAAAACTATGAGAGTTTCTTATTCTTCTGTCTGTTTTCTACAGATGTCTCACTTTACAAGCGAAGATGAAGTTCTATTACAGTCTATGCTTAGACAGTTGCTGCAGAGTGTGAAGGAAAAAATCACTGGAGCTCCATCAGCAGAATGTGCAGAAGAAATTCTCTTGCATTTGGAGGAAACAGATGAGAATTTTCACAAGTAAAAATATTTTTTGCTATTTTTAGTCTTTTGAAGAAGTTGGTATGTCTTAAACTGTACTATTCTTGGGAAATGTCTACACTTTATATTGCTTTGTAAATGTGTGTGTGTTTATATATATGTAGATATCACTGTTGCTAATCAATTCTCAGATGATGCTAATTTAAAGAATAAAATTCATGTTTCCATTTTCTTGGTTTGCTTTTTTCCCCATCCACTCTTGCTAATATATTTTTGCTCTAGTAGTAAGTCATGAGCTGTTTGTGAGAGAGGAATTTACAAAGCTCTGATGCATGTGTACACATAATGTACTAAATGCACACGTGGAGCTAGAAGAAGTAGTCACTGGAGACTCTCAGTATATTTGACACCTGCTAGACAGCATAGTTGTGTTTTTCAATATAGAGTACTTTTTCAGAGGGCCATTTGGCTTCCATGTTTGATTGTTCTCTCTGGCCTATATTACTGAACATGTCTATCTTATCTATCTATTCCAATCATTGTTTTAATTTATGTTTTAAGTAAAACAGAAATGTATCCCCATCACACTTCTGTTAAATCAGATTTGACAGTGTGATCTCACATGCAATGTAAATTTCTAGATCCTGTGCTGCTCTTTCTTTTCCATGATGTTATAACTTGATTATTTTTTTGCTGCATGGGAGATTTTTAGTACACGGTTTATCACAAGCCAAGACAATATCAGGCTGAAATAACCTGAGGGCATTTTAATAAGAAACAGCTCTGTGACCTGACTTCTGAGAAAGCTGGTTCCCTGTCAGTTTTTTCAGAAGTGGCACTATTTGCATTCTCTTAAATTTACCTAGATATTAGCATTCCTTGGTCAGTGGCAGGAGTTAGGTAAAAGTAAATAAGTGAAGTTGGACTAGGGTTTATCTAAAATTTCACTGTAATTTTAAAATCTTGATGATTGCATGTGTTCTAAAGATTCTTTAAAAGGTATTTTAGTTCAGTTTTAGATTTGTTACCAATGTATTGATTTACCCTGTTGCTTTTACTCTTCTGAATTTTGAATAATAGGTTGCTGGGTGACAAGCGTGAGAGTAAAATAATTTGGTTGTGAATGTGTCAAAGTTGAAAGACATGTATTTCTGAAAGAAAAAAAAATATTTAGAGAAGATATATACAATAAAGATCAAACAAAAAAAAATGTCATTTTTTCTAAGAACCTAATAGAATACCCAGGGTGAGGGAATAAGTTCTGTAAGTGGTTGAAGCAATGCCTATATAGCTTTTTACAGCAGTGAAACCTTGACATCCATTACTCTTTCTTGTATGTTAGAAAATTGGTGATCCTAAAAATACTTCTTTTCATGAGAACACTTTTAATTTACATTTAATGGAAAATCAAGTGGTTTTTAAGTTCAGAACATGAGGATTACTATCTGATACTGCAATATTTCTGGAGGTATTCTTGTCTTGTTTGTGACCCATGGCAGTATAGACTGATTTTCATGGAAAGTCAGAGAGGTCATGTGGTTATTTATAAGTGAGGAGATTAAGAAACTTTTTCCTTAACCTATCCATCCAGATTGCAAGCTCTCTTCTTAGTTGTGGTGGTGTTTGCAGGGGTCCCAGGGTGAGGAAATAGATAAGAATCTTGACTCTATGTTCCAGAAAGCTGATTTATTTTTTTATGATATATAATATATTAAAAGAAAATTATATACTAAAATTATACTAAAAGAATAGAAAAGGATTTCATCAGAAGGCTAGCAAAGGAAGGAGTGGAATGATAGTAAAATCTTGTGACTGCTCACAGCCTCGACACAGGTGTCTGTCATTGGTCATGAAGTAAAAACAATTTCACATGCTGGGTAAACAATTCTCCAAATCACATTCCAAAGCAGCAAAACATGGAGAAGCTGAAGCTTCTGAGCTTCTCAGGAGAAAAAGATCCTAGCAAAAAGATTTTTCATAAAATATGTCTGTGACAATTAGTAGTGTGTGCTTTTGGTCTGTCCACTGCTGCTCTCAGCATTTTGAGCAGTACTGATTCTGCCCCACACCTATTTTGACACAGTAATTTTACCAGATTTTCAGGCCTTTCCCGTTGTTCCCACTGATGTAGAAAAGACAGAAATGCGAGATCCTCAGAAAGCTAACAGAAAGGAAAATTGAATCAAGTAAAAAAATTTCTTTGCGATAGTAGACAAAGGGATTTTAAGCTACATAAGTAGTATGTTTTCTGTTACATTTAGAGGTATTTTTAACCCCAAGTGTGATTCCTTTGTAAGTCCTACCAGATCAGTCTGAATTGATTCTGCTTGTGAAGAAGTAGTATTGTCATTGCTGAAATGCATAATTGTTACAAAACATGTCTAAGGTAGAAGAATAATGCAGAAGATGAAGACTAGAACCTCAGACGTAAAGGTAGTGATGTGAATAGTGATGTGGTTACTGCATATTTCAGAGTGAAGGAGTCACTGCAAAAACTGATACCCTGGAAGTGTTGCCCTTATAAAACAAAGGGGAGACAGTTTCATGAAAGCTTTCTTTCAGTGGAGAGTTGTGTGCAATTTCACAAATGAAAAAAATAAACATATGTTGCATCTTTCTTGAAACATATTTCTATTAATTTCACTGAGAACAGGAATGGAAAGGTAGGGGAAAAGAAAAATACTGACATACCTGATGGAACCTGAGGTAGGCAATCCAGTGAGGAAGTATCTATCATGATACAATTTTGTGTGCTTTGTTATTTGTGTTTTGGGTTTTTTAATCCAAGTGAACATGAAATAGGCGTGCATCTACTTTTGATAAAATGAAAATAAAATTATGCACCTATTGTAACTATGTGATTATTTTTTGTGTGTTTCTGTTTGCCTTGCCCTTTATACAAATCACAAAACTAGCCAAAAAGAAAAGTTGATTTATTCTGAGCAGTCCTCTTTAGCAATTTCTATAGCTAATATGAAGCTGGAGGGCCCAGGGAGAGTCTTTAGTTTGAGATCTCCCTCTGATTATTCTATTCTCTTAGCAAGTGTCTGTGGGTGTCTGATCATAAGACTGCAAAGTGGTGAATCCTTAAATTTGATATGTGATCACAGAAAGCTGTTTTGTCAGTTTGATTATTCCATGATAAATAAAGTTACTGAACGTTTTGTCCTGTTTACATGTCCCTTGCCCTTCTTGGTAACTTCTGTGTTGCCCTTTGAGTGTATTGCCATGACACATAGAATTTCATAGGCCATAGATGTTCTCATATGCTCTAATTTATAAACTGTGTTTTCTGTCTGTTTTCTAATTTTGTATATATACTGCATAAAAAATATTACCAGACATTTTATACTCTAAGACATGTTTAGAATGCTACAAGGAATGTTTCTTTTGGAATTTGAAACTTCTTGATACTCATTGTTTTTGTCTATAAAATCTTTTACCTTTTTGTCTACAAAATCTTTATCTTTTTGTCTGGATTTTTACTTTTAGAAGAAGCACAAAGTGAAAATGTGCATTTTGGTAAACTAACTCTTGGTTTTGTTTCTTCTATTTGGTGTTGTTTCTTCCTACAACATGCTGATACTGACCATATTGAAGAAAATCAAACTGTAATGTGTTATTTTACACTCCTGAAATTTATTTCTATGCAAGTCATAGACTCTTACCTCAGAGTAAGAGATCTGCTGGGAGTGAAGATAGTGGTTGTTGTTATAATGTTGAAAATGTTTCACGGTGAATTCAAAGAGATTTAGCATTTTAATTTTGCATATGTCTTGCAGCTACGAGTTTGTGAAATATCTTAGACAATACATAAAAAATACTGTGGGACCTGTGATTGAAGAAGAAACAGAAAAATGTACCTCTGCCCAAAATCAGGGTGAAATATCTGGCTATGAAACGCTTGTCCAACATCTTACTAAGAAGGCCCGTGAATCAAAAGAGTGAGTATATACCTCTAATTCACATTTCTATTTCTTCTTTGCCTTAGTCTTCCTTTTGTTTTTCCATAATATGTTTTGAAAAAATAAGATCTGAACCAATAACAATTCTGAACCCTTAGCCAAAATCAGTGCTAAGAAATTCACATGTTGCCACCATACATTGCAATTTGTCATGCTTTGTCTCATCCTGGGCTTAAGGTTGAAAACAATTGCATAAAAAAAGAGAGGTAGCAAACATGTGAAATTTTTGAGGTATTTAGGATTTTAGCATCAGTGGTCATTTTTATGTGTTGAAAGGAGGAAAATAGGAAAATAAATGTTAGGAAGACCATTTTTTAGATTATGCCGTTTGTATAATTTTGTTTTAAGGATTAGGACCTACCTTAGGGTTTTGTGTGTATTAAAATTGGTAGAAGAAATGCCAATGAACTAAAAATGAATCTTATATTTTTAATTTGACACGTAGGAAGATATTAAAACACAGTATGATAATCTGTATCTTTGATGACTGTAAAATAAATAATTGTAGCATTAAAGTAAAAAATAATTTGAAATAAAACATTAATGTTTTACAAGATGCTTTTCTGAAGGTTTTTTTTTTTTTTTTTTAATTGCTTCCCTGTGGATATTACTTTGCAATTTATGGAAATTAGAAAAAACCAGGTTTTGTTGAAAGAAAATTATTTTGTGTGTATGACCTGTTCTCAAGATCTTGAATCAGGATGATGCGTTTGCTTCTACTGATTCTGCTCAAGCTTTATAGCAAAAGACAAATTGGATGTTGAGTGGCAAGAAACTAACAGTAACAAGGATGAGAAATGGCCTGTTTTCTCAGGGACAGATCCTCCTTTTTGGTGGACTCATGTTGTTCTTTCTTAAAAATGTCCCAATAGAATTATGATAGTGGTATTTCATTGAGTGGTTCTGGAAGGGAAAAAAAGTAGTTTTGTTGTGATTTAAAAACATCATTACCTGAAACATGTAAGGTGTATATATGTTTCCTTGCTTAGTTTGGATTTGGTATTCATTAATTTCTGTAAAATCAGTGAGTTCAAGTCCAATCAGCATCATTTCATATTCAGTTATTCATGATGTAGCGATTCTTTTGCTTTTTTTTTACATAGTGATTTTTATGTTCTTATGTATTAAAATCATCTTTACTTTGAAGATACAGAGAAATGATGCATGCCTTGAAGAATGTCATGATGGTTGTGGTAGAATCTTTGATTAACAAGTTTGAAGAAGATCGGATGCATGATAAGGAGCTGACCAGTAAAGCAAAGAAAGAACGTCAGAGTGGCTATTACACAGACAACTGTTCTGACAGTGACTCCTCCTTCAACCAAGTACAATGGGTTTTCTCTCTATCTTATGAAATAAGCATTATACTGCAAAATTATTAGGTTACGGTCAATGGAATGGCCCTAGCGAAAGATTAATTTTTCCCATCTTTGTTATATCTTAAACCTAAATTATTTGCTTTTCTTTCAGTTTTAAGTACTAAGCTTATACTAGCTACTTTAGGCATCATGTGCTAGATGAGATCAATATGATGCCCATATGCTCCAAAGTACCTATCCAAGTATGGTATAGAAAGATAAAATCAGTGCATCATCTAACTTTTGTGATTTTACTTTAGAAGCCAAATAATGTGCAGTTCATTTCCAGACTACTGTACTAGGCTACATTTCTTGCTGAATAAATTATTATACAGAATTTTTTGAAGATACAGAAAACTTTGAAGTAAAGCAAACAAAATATGTTATAGTGATTTCATTATCCTAAGTTTAACTTTGGGCAAACAGCAGAAAACATTTGGAATGTTGACTTTACAGTAAAATTAGTATAAATGTTGAAGTCCTAATTATTAAAAGTAAATTAGGTATCAGAAAGACTGATGATTTTAATCTTCTGCTGTTCAGTTTAATAAAATACACTAATGATAATTTTTTAATGTGTATTACAGAGTTATGCATTCATGAGTCAAGAACAATTGCAGCTGCTCACAGAAAAGCTTGACCCTAGTCAGCCCAAGGAAGTAAGTTTAAAAACAGAAATGAAATGTTGATACAAATGAATGTTTATTGCATATTGTAGAGTAGCCTGTATGTACATACAAGTTCCTATGTATCTGAGTGGAAACCTTCTTTGTTGGTTCATTTATTTAGTGCAGAAGCTACTCTGCAGTGCAATATTTCATTGTAACCATCTGGTTCAAAAATTAGTGTTGCAGCAAGTATCTATATATTTTTTAGAGATTATGTGCTAAATATTGGCATTTTTAATTAAAAAAAGTTGTTCCATGATAAATAAAGTTATTGAACATTATTGTCCTGTATACATGTCCCTTGCACTTGGTAACTTCTGTGTTGCCCTTTGAGTTACCCTTGTTCAAAGAGAAAGGTGCCTGCTGATTTGCCAACAACCTGCTGCCAAATGGAAAATATAAATCCAAGTTAGGTTTGCTGTCATGTCAGTGGCAGTACTAATTTGTGTCTCTAACCAACAACCAGCACCAGCTGCTGGTATTTTTGAAGCTTGGAATAATACCAGTTTGAGTGTGCTGCCTTGATAAGACATGTTGGAGCTTGTCTGACAACTGAAACAGGCATGGTAGCTAGGAGGTGGTAAAAACAATTTTTTTATTAGAAAACAAGGTAAAAAGTCTGATGCTATTAAATGTTATTAAAATGTCTTACAGCTTGTTTCAGTAAGATGAAACAAATTGCTAGAGATAACAGTTGTCTATGAATTGAAAAAAAAGTTACTTGAAATTACTTAGAATGCTGATGAAAATTCATCAGTTATAACACTATGTCTAATAACTGTTTCAGCTTCTCCTAGCTGAGAGCTTTAGAGAGCTATATTCCCCAGTTTCAAAATATTTGATTACAGCCAGAAAATAGAACATAAACCTTGCATCCAGTATTGAAAACCCATTTAAAATGGTTTTGTTACTTCTTTGAATACACACATTTTCTCCACTCAGTGATGTAGTGTTGTGTCTAAATAGCCATAAAAAATAGAGCAGAAGATAAGTATTTGTTATTTCTTATCTGTTCTACAGCCAGGTTCTGTTCCTTCCTGTCTTCCCTCCCTCCCCCGCTCTGACTTGTAAATTGCATATTTCAGAGGCTGCTGTGAATGGATTTTTGGTGTTTATCTTTTTGACTGCTCCAGGTTCGCCAAGAAGCTTTGCAGACGCTGTGCTTGGCCCCTGCCTCTGATATCCTGAACTCTGAGAGTTGGCCAAGTCTGAGTAAGCATCTGACAATCTCTCTGGCAGATCCAGATGCAACATTCAGTGTAAGGGAATGTTTTGTATCTAATTACCAGATTTGTATCCAAAGAAAGGACTACCTCTTACATATTATAGGAAATTACACCTCTTACATATTATAAGTAGTCCAGCAGGGTTCAAGACATTTTATTATTTGTGTGTGAATCACATAAACTATTTCTTTAAGTAACAGAAATACAGGATTCCAGTACATTTTGGTTTAAAGAACTGCAACAGGCTTTCAATAGGATTTTCGGACACCAAAGTAGTCTTTTGCATTTCTTTTAATGGCAGTGAAGACATTTTAATTTATTTTAGCAGAAACGCATGTAAAAAGAATGGACCAAACTGCTCTGTAAAATAGGTCATGTTAATATTTCCTATTCAAGTCAGGTTTATGCCCTGTGATGATGAGAAAATGATACATAGTAATATGACAGAGGCAGTGATGAGGAAAAGAAATGACAGCTGCTTAAATGACTTTTAGATTGTTTATTATGTCAATTAAACTTCTTTGCTTCTTCAAATTTTAAAGTGATTACCAAATAAATAGGAAACTTGCTCCAGCTGCTTTCATAGATTTCTCTTTCACCTGAGTTCTGCAATTTCTTTTAAAACAGTGATAATTACAAGTTACTGATTCTGAATGGAAAAGTAATGTTCCTTGGTCTACTTTATTACTCAGTGAGGCTTTACACTGGTGCTGTAGTTCAAGTATTTGAATAAAATTTCCTTTGAACTGGGGATTCCTGTGATCAGAAGCTATATTTTTATAAAACATGCTTAACATCTGTGCAGATGTCTAGATGAATAATATATAACAATAAGAATAAATGATATATTGATTATTTTGCAATTATGATACACAGTTAATGACTATTTAATACATTCCTTGCTTTTTTCACCCTTAGGAGAAAATTCTTAGGTTCTATGCAAAAACTTTTTCTTCTTCTCCATTTAATATGACAAAAGAAGTCTATACAAGTTTAGGTATGTGCATTTAATTACATTTCAAACTTCATGAGTTATGTACTTTTTCAAAAGTTAAATTTTATATTGAAGATTGTATAAGACAGTCTGTTTTATCGCTGTTGTCATGGAGCTGAAGTGATTTTTTGTTGTTTGGTTTATTTTTTTAGCACGACACTTGGAGTTGTACTTTCTTTCTGAGGAAAATTCTCTTCATATTTCAGCTGGTCTGGATGTATCTAACTCAGATGTGAATCGTTTACTTAAAAAGGTATAAATGAACTTTCTGTACCTTTTCTATCAGTACTGAAACATTATGCATTAATCATTTCTTAATTTTAATAATTGTATTTTCAGGTTCGCCTTTTAAATGAGTACCAAAAAGAAGCACCTTCTTCCTGGATTCGACATCCAGAAAAGTAGGTCACCTTCAAAACCCTGTAACCGTTTCTTAATTTAATAGTCCTTGACATAAGATACATGTAACTTTAGCAAAGGCTTGATTATAGGATGCACAGTGTTTGGTCAGTGACAACAGGGGAAATAAAAGTAGAGGGTGGGAAAAGTAAAATAGGGAAGTTGCATAGGAGTAGTCATATTTAGCTGCTTACTTAGCTTTTGGAGTGTTCTAAGTACATTTGAACAAAAAATAATTTGGATGTAAGTGTAGTAGGGGTAATACACTTAGAAGTTGTAATAACTTACGAGAATATAGATGCATATTAGCTTTTTTCATGATATTACAAAGAATTAATGCCCATACAAGGGCAAGTTAAAGATAGTGCTGTTGGTATTTATGATTTATCTGAACAAGGTTATATGAGAAGATTGTTCTTGACCATATTTAGTGGAAGGACTTCAGTGATTTTTTTGTTTCTTGTCCATTTTTTCCTATTTGTGTCATAAGGTATATGGAAGAAGTAGTGGAGAGTACCTTGTCACTTCTGTCATTAAAACACAAGCCTAATCATCCTGCCTCTCCAGATTTCTTGAGTCCAATGCACTTCTTGGCTTTGCTAGATATCAAAGCAGTGTGGTTTAAGAAGTGGACGGTAAGCAAATAATCTGCAACCCAACAACACATAACTTGTTCATGTCAGACACTTATTTTGAAAAGTTATGGTTCTGACATCACAGACCTATTTGTGTCCTATAACAGCCTATACTGAGAACTGTAATTAAGGAAGTGCAGGGTTTTTTTAGACTTTTATGTCCACTGCTTTTCAATATTACACTCCACCTCAATTTCTGTTCAGTTACTTGTTTTCATGAAATTTAGGAATATTGTCTGTGTTTTGTGTCTTCACTCCCTTTGGAGGAATTGACTGACAGCCACCAAAAGATGCAAGTATTTGTTTGGAAGAAATGATGAGCATGAAAGAACACATTTATATAACACACTACACACAACTTGCTAACTTCAGTGGACATTAGAACTTTTTCCAGCCTACCATAAACTTACAATTTAGGATTTACTTGGCAATTTCAAAATGCATAGTTTAGCATTTGTGTACTTACTGGTTTTCTCTTTTAACTATGTGTTCTGCTACACTTTTTTTCTAATGATGTAGGGTTTTTTTGTCATAAATGTACTGCAAACCAAAGTCTCAGTTGAGTATAATACTGGCTTGCACGAGCTGGAGTTTGTTAAATATGTACTGTATGTGGGATCTCTCCTAGAACAGAATCAGAGATAATTTCTACTTTTTAGTTAAAAATCAGAACGTTTCTTTGTAGTTCACATTACATCTTCTTTGTCATTCAAGCATGCATATTACAGCAGAAGAGTGGTATTTAGGCTTCTGGAAAGGAAATATAAATCCTTGGTAAGTACTTCTATTGATATACTTTATTGATTATATATGCAGTAATAGTCTGTAAATAAAATTTATTGATAGAACACAGGGTAATGGCTTGAACCTGAAAGAGGGTAGATTTAGATTAGATATTAGGAGGAACTTCTTTTTCTGTCAGGGTGGTGATACATTGGAAAAGATTGCCCAGAGAAGTTGTGGATGCCCCTCCCCTGGAAGTTCAAGGCCAGGTTGGATGGGGGTGCAAGGTGTCCCTGCCCATGACACTGTTTGGAACTAGATGATCTTTAAGTCACTTTCAGTCCAGGCCTTTCTATGATTCTGTGCATTACCAAGGCAAGCTTACTTGCAACTTAGTTTTTTTTGCACATAGTTGTTTGGACAATTTTTTTTCTTTTTTTTCTTTTTTTATTTTTGGTAGCTATTTCATGTTCTTCAGCTAAATAAGCCTTTTGATTTTTTTTTTCAATTTATTTTGCTTAAGTGGATCATTGATAAATACAAAGAAGCATATATGGCCAGCTCTGTGTAAGGGGAATTTGGATATTTTATTGCAGGTGTTTATTTAGGATTATAATGTATTTATTTGTTATGTTTCATTCATGTTTAGAATTATTTCCAAAAAAGCATAAAAATGACAAATGATGCATGATAAATACTGTAAATACACTGTACTAAATTTGGATTTTTGTTGAAAAGAGGCTAAACAAAGTGCCATTGTATTCTCTGAATCATAAGGGATTCAAAGTCAGCAAGATAAATCAAACTGGGAAAATATATTTAGTAATATAGTTGTTAATCCTATCATATATTTTGTATGGGCAGATCTCTTTACTGGGGTAGAATTTTCATTGTTTTTAATAAGACTGCTGTAGATGTGAGATCCATTAATTTAAACAGGACTTGTCTATGTTATATAAAATCTTGTCATACAGATGAAATCAAATGTAAAATATATGGGACCAATAAAACCTTAAGATGGAGAAAGGACACAGATGAGAGAACTTTTTCTTTTTTATCTGTGTGCATAGAACAGAACAGAATAAAGCATGATCCATGCAACAGAGTTTATAATAGAAAGTCCATAAGCAGGGTAGTCTAATCTAATTTATAAGCAAGGGTAAGCATCCGATTAAGGTTGGAGGTTTTTTTTATTGTGTATGCCTGCATATTTATACTTGTGAATAAATCTTGGCAGCTCCAAGCTTTAATAAATCTAATTATTCTTCTCAGATCATAAGGAAATAGAAGAAATAAATTCTATCCCACCTGAAACCAGGACAATGTGCTTTGTGTTTCCTTGCTACAACAATGCTTATAACTTTTAAACTTTTATATACCTTGATTAGATTATAGTGCAATGACAGTGATACACCACCAAGAACAGTAATAGCACTGGAGCACCTAGCAACCAAACCTACAGTTTAGTAAGTGTATTCAAGACAAAGGTTTTCACTTGTGGAAATTTAAAATCTTCCACAGTAATGACAATAGGGCATTCACAGATTGCTGTTGACTTCTCAAAACTCTTCCATGTTCTCTGTACTCTTTTTCATAGACTGTCTTTATGTGTATAGAACTGGTTGTGTGATAATGTAATAATAATGGTGATATATTTTAATAGCCCTGTAAAAGTTTGTCTTCTCTTGGTTAATACATCCAAAGCACTGAAAAATGAAGTCATTGAAGTGAAGTGGATATTTAAGTTCTTGTGTTAAGGGACAGTACTTGGATGCAAGAGAGAAGGAGTTTATTGTGAAATATCAGGTACTTTATTATTTTGGGTTTTTTTCCACAGATTAATGCAGCAGTCCAGCAATGTCTTTATTATTTTGAATTTTGCAAGGCAGCAGTTAATAAAAATCCCAAAGTCGGTGACTTTTCTCAGCAGCACTGTAGTGAGTATCTTTGCATGTCTCACATTATATGTGCATACATCCCCATTCTTTAGGCTTTTGAGCATGCTACTTCAAGAGGAAGATGCTCTATCTCTTCCATTCCCCTGATGTTGAATGACTATCTTTTAAGAGAAAACTAACAGCAGTGAGTAATTTCTTAAGCTGTCTTTATATCCAAAATTATCTGCTTGTGTTACAGGAAGCAGCTAGGTACTGTGAAGTAAGCTACAAGAGTAAAGTTCTGATTTTTTTGCTTTATTGTTATAGGTGATATGCAGGATTTTTCTTACACTGGACCAGAATTGCAGTACATCTATTTTGTTCATTCACTGTGCCTCTTAGGAAGATTGCTGATCTATAAGGAAGGCCAGAATCTCTTTCCAGTACAGCTGAAAAATAAAAAAGGTAGGGGGAGAGTTGAGGAAAATGGAACCTATTCAGAAAAACTGTATCCATTCTTGATATATATTTATATATTTTCACTGCAATATTGTGGGTATTGAAGAACAATACTTTGTTCACCAATTCTGAGCCTGGAAACTTTCATAAAGGCGGTGTATGTGTGTATATATCTATATATGAAAATTTGTACACGTTTTTTTATTCTTTGATGGATGTGGTTAAATGGATTGTTTGTGTGTTTTACTTCTAATACATTAATTTTGTGTAGAAGGATAGTTGGATTAGTCTGTAAGTGATTCATTTTTTCTAGGTGTGAGTAATAGCTTCTGTCAAACCATTTGATGTAGTTGGTTGGAAGAGAGATATGTCCAGGGCCCAAAACTGGTTTTCAGGTGTGAGAGAAAAATCAGTATTTCAAGCTAATTGCAAATTGAAAACAAATGCTCTGAGTTTAACCTGTTAATTAAGATAAAAAAAAGTAGAAGAAAAGTTTCATACCTGTGGAACAGAGGTGTTAACAGGGACACAAGAAATGAGACGGAAAAGCTTTTCAACAGCCAGAGAAGTCTACATGGAGCCAGGCTGGCAAACAGAAATGTTTGAGGGCAATTTTAGCATTCCATTGCTTTAGTGTCTCTATTAATTCAATGAATAATTCCAGACATTACTGGACACTCTTTGTCCCTTTGGTTAGAGGACCAAGACTTGATAGATCCAGTGTAGAACGGTTGTGAGTAAGAAATATCTACTAATAAAGTGCTTTTGTCATTTTTGCATTACCAGTGTAACACCCATCCAGCAGAGATCCAGGGATGGTGGTTGCTTATTTCTTTCCTATAAAATGTAACAATCATGCCATTTCTCTTCTTAATAGTGTCCTTCTCAGCTTCATAGATGGCAACTCTTTCCTCAAAGTGGCTGATTTATTAACATAATTACATGTAAACTTGGAGCAATTTTTCCTATCTTGCATTTGGCTACATTTGTTGTTTTTGTTCCCGACCTGAGAAAGAGTTGTATGACACCTTCTCTCTTTACCAGTTTTTTCACTTAATCTAATAGAAAAGTAATGCTTTTTTCTACAGCCAGTGTTTCCAAATGTTGGCTGTCATTTGTTACAGTGAAAGACATTGCAGAATTTCAATTGGCTAAATTGAGAGCAAGATCAAGTCTTATAAGGTAATCATGAAATACCTTAGCAGAGTCCCAAGGACACATATGTCCTTTGCTTTATAACTTTTGCGTAATTGATTTCCCCTCTACAGCAAAGCATTCTTTACATATATTTACAAAACCCATTTTTTATTTGGAAAATTTAACTTAGTCTTTAATTTACAATGTACTTTCTTTCTTTTTTTTTTTTTTTTAATAGCTACTGTATCCATAACTGATGTGTTGGTATTATTTGTTCAACTTATTTATTCCTCTCCAAGTTACCCAAAGACAGCTTTGGCAGCACATACAGGTAAATGCTTTTTTTTCCTTATGCGTGAATATATTTACTTATAATGAGGCATATGATAACTTCTTTTGCAATTTTTGTCTCTGTTATTGAAGCAGTTTTTCTCTTCCCTTCCACCCTTACCATTCTTCCTCCCTCTATGTTGAATCAGGACTTAACAAAATTAATAATAATTCAGAAGCAACTACATAAATCATACAGAGATATTTGTGTAAGTTAAAATAAATATTTCTTGTGCTCACCAGAAAATTATTCTCCAGAAAGTCTTGTTATGGAGATTCTGCAGGTTTTTTGTGATCAAACAGGATGTGCTGCTAAATGTTTGTATACAGACACAGTGATAGATGCCCTGCTTCATCCTGTCCAAAGTTTGCTGAATGGCACAGAGGTTTGTAATAATCTTCCAAATTATTTTTACGTGTATAGAATATTATATTTTATTAATATTTTCTATGCAGAAGGTTTATTTACTCACATAATATGGTAACTTCTGTGGTATTTTGTTCCTTAACTATCTTAGTGTGTATTGAATAGTTTAGTCTGTTATTATGATTGGTCTGACATGGAAGTCTTGTGAATAGTAGCAAAAATTATGCTGTAGTGAGACTGTTTCCTTGGGAAAAAACACACTGATTAATTTTTTTCATTCGTTTTGGCTTTTTTCTGTTGACGCTTGGATATTTCATGGATGAATATTTTCTCTGCTTTCTATTTGAAAGGCAGCCTACTTTTTATTTTTTAATTCAGTTGGCAACTTGTAGGTTAGGTGTTCTCAATAACTAGTGTAAGTAAAAATATGTGATTCTCCATGGAAAGCTGCTATTTTCTGGATTGATAAAAGAAAACGGGTTTTTTTTTTCTTTTTTTTGTTTTTTTCCTTGTAAACATTTTTATAAGGACTATGAAAATATTGGGAATTAGTGCCCTTTGTGATGAAGATTTCTGTGTAATGACATTTGAATATAAGCTGTTAACTTAACTGTGGTTAAGACATTAAGAAAACATCAGAAAGGTGAGCTTCAGGTTCTGCATACGTAAGACAGACTTGAAAAAACAGCTTTCATAAAACCATTGAATTTGAAGCTTCTTTTTTTTCCCCTCTTCCAAATAGGTGTATATCAACTGCCTTGAAACTACTTTACTTAATGTAGCTGATATTTTGGCAAGGATTGCTGGTTCAGAAGATGGTCTTTCTCTTCTTCTTTATGGAGAAAATGAAAAAAATGCCAAAGACAGGTAAGAGTGTGTTAATGGATGGCATTAGTGAGCACTTCAATGAATTACATGGCTCTTATGAGACTCGTTTTCTCATCTTTCATTTATCTATAACATGATACATTTTAGTTTTGAGTAAAATATCTGACTATAAATTTAAGTAGTAAGTGTTTTATAGAATGTATGAGGGAGATCTTTATGTGTCGAACCAGGTGAAATGACAATGTAAAGAAATACTAGTAATAAGGGACATTTTAATGTTTTTCTTCTTTTTCTAATTCATGTGAGAGCTTTCCTTTCTCTGAATATATTCCATTATACTTGTCGTGTTACTTTTCAGACCAAAGGCCTCTCTTCTTCAATTTTTTTGTTTGATTTTAGAAAAAGTATTTAAACTAACCAAATTTATTGAAAGAATACATTTAATGTAGCATTCACATTTCAGTACATCTAGTAGAGACAGATTTTGTATAAGAAGCTGCCATGTGTAACACTTTACCTAACTTAGGATCAGTGTGTTCATATGTGTGGAATATAGTTAGCTGATCGTAAAACTTCTAACACCAGTAAAACTGAGATGAGCCTTTGAAAACAGCTAAGCTGCAGGTCATGAAAATGTTTGGAATGTACTTCTTCTAAGTTGAGAAATCTCCAAGTTCTCTTCCCAACTGGACTCCTATAAAACCTAGAGTCTGTGTAGTTCATGGTCCTGTGGGCTGTGTGGAAGGCAGTGGATGTATTTTTGCATTGCATAGAACTATTTGCCAAGGTGACATCACTTTCTGTAAGTTTCTAATCTTCTGACTGGTGTTAAAAATTCTAACATAGTTTGTCCCTCTGTAGTGGGTCATAGTCTCTTTCTGTAGCTTCTTTTCCCCCAAAAATTTTAAATAAGTTTAGTCAGAGGATTTGTTTCAAGGCTTACTACAAAACAAAATTTTAAATGCATTATTTTATTTCTAGTCCTACAGCTGCTCATGTACTCGTTCAGTTCACAAAGAAACTTCTTCATGATGACATTTCTCTTTTATCTGGATCTGAGTTTATGCCAGTTGTTAAAGGAGCTTTCATTTTTGTATGCCGTCAAATGTACAGAACTTGTGAAGGCCTACAGATGCTAATTCCTTATGGCTTGCATGAATCTATTGCAGAAGCCTGGAGAAAGGTAAATTTTGCTTTTGGATTGGGAAAAATCTTACTGTGAGAGGTTCAGCTTGTGTAATAGTTGTTCTTATAGGTTAATTATTTTTAAGCAGTTAAATAGTACTTGAAAATGTTGTAAAAATGAAGTTCTACTTGCAAATTTTCCTTCTGAATGTGAACCTAGCAGAAAGTTAATTTGAGACTTGTATACCTAAGATGAAAAGTGCCAGGCAGGAGTTTTTGTCTTACCTGAGGACATGAATTTGTTATGAAGCTTAGATTCTGTACTTTAACTTCAGTTTGCTAGTCCAGTGTTTTTTCTACATGAAAGAGCTTGGATCCAACAGTTCTGTGTATTTTGCTTTCTGTTATCACAGAATCACAGAATGGGTAAGATGGGAAGGGACAACAGTGGGTCTACTGGTCCAATGTCCCTGCTCAAGCAGGGTAATCCTAGAGCACATGGCACAGGATTGTGTCCAGAGGGTTCTTGAGTATCTCCAGTGGGGGAGACTCCACAACCTCTCTGGGGAATCTGGTCTAGTGCTCATTCACCTGTTCAGGTAGAACTTTTGGTGCATCAGTTTCTTCCCATTGCCTCTAGTCCTGTTGCTTGGCAGCACTGAGAAGAGCCTGAAAACCTCCTCTTGATACCCTCCTTTCAGATAGTGACAGATATTGATGAGATCCCCTCCCAGTCATCCCCTCTCAAGACTGAATAGGCCCATCTCTCTCAGCCTTGCTTCATAAATAATGGTGCTCCAGTCCCTCATCATCATCAGTTCTATTTTCATTGTTCTAAAAGTCACATGCAGTGTGAAAATCCTTGTGTATTGTAAAAAATTACTTAAGATGGAGAAATGATGGCAGATCCTGCAAATGCAGTTTTCAAAAAGTTCAAAAGGAAGCAAATTCCAACCTTTGAATCATCAAAATAACATTGGCACAATTTAGGTAAAGGTAGCAAACAAATCTTCAGCTTTGGCTTCTAGCTTAACTGAAAGCATATTTAAACTGTAGGTATTAGGACTCATAGTAGACAGACAAAGTCTAGCTGTGTTACTCACTTTACCCTGAAAAATAGGACTATCTTTTTATATCTTAGAGAGGGATCAGATCAAGCTGGAACAAAGAATAGACTAAAAGACTAATTTTTTTTTTTTCTGGAGGCAAGGAAGTGGGAGGGAAAATGAATGCAAGGAAAAAAGAATGGAAGAGCTTTTCTTCCTTCTTGTATGCTTCTACTGTATGCTTTTATTATGATGAGATATTTTAAAAATACAGTCACAATGTAAACTAAGGCAGAAAATACCAGAAGGGAAAACATGAATAGAAGGTACTTAAGTCACCAGTTTGAGGGTATTTCTCACTGTTTCATATATTAATGTTGCCACAAAGCCATGCATTGTCTTGAAAATAAAATGTATTATTACTAAAAATCATAATTATATTACAATAAATTCTGTTTCTCATCATAGAATGTTGGTTTTGAAACTTATGTTATTCCTTGCATTGAAAACCTGAGGATTTTTATTGAATTAAGGAGCTTAGTTCACTTGATCCATGCTGTAATTTACGTAACTCAGCAATCTTTTTTTTTTATGCTTTCCTATTGTGTAACTTTTCAATCTTACTCCAGCTAGCCTCTTACTCTATTTAATGTTTATCACAGGCCAGAGTGTTAAAAGCTTTTGATGGGCATTTCCTGTTATTTCCTCTAAAAAACACAGCATTTACACTTTGTACAAACGACTTCTTTCCACGTTAAAATCCCTTATTAAGGTATAGAACATAATTTAGACAAATTGTCTTGACATGTAAAAGATAAGTAGACTGAATGTGTTGAGTGAAAACAAAATTTACCCTACAAAATGCTATTTCTTCACTTCACTTTGGTAGTCAGATATAAACTGAAGTAGAATCAATATATTCTTGACTTCAAGACTCAACAAGCTATTACAGGAAAGTCAACTCCATCATCTTAACTACTTTTAAAACTATTTTCTGTCATTTTTCAATTTTAAAATACCTGAAATTTATAAAATACCATGCCATTTATAGTGTAGCAAAACCAGTGGACTATGGTGGATTCTTTCCAAGCCCAGGTGTCAATTTTTTAATGGTGGGGCTGGTAATTTGTATCCATTTCTTTTACATGTCTCCTGGAGTTTTAAGACTGATGGAGAAAGAAATTATTTTTTTCTCAGCAGATTCTGATTAAATTCTGAGAAAGAATTTATAAAGATGATAATAACAGGGGAACAACAGATCCAGTATGATTGACTAGTGTAATAGAATAATCTTTTGTTGATTTTTTACATCACATTTACAAGATAGTAAATTAATAACTTCTCACTTTTATTTCAATGGTGTAATTTGCTTTTTATCCCATAAACATAAAAAAACTGAAATAATTTTGAATATGCATTCTTTCATGCCAGTTATTTTAAAATATAATTTAAATGTTCAAATATAAAAATATGTCTATATTTATGTCTGTAACTCAAATGACACCCATATTAATATAGATAAATTTATATAATTTATAAATAAATAAAATAAAAAGTGGCAGAATTAATAACTTTGGCATGGTGACTTCAGAGGCTGTTATTTTCATTACCTGTGACAGAAACAGAGTAAAGAGCTGTGTTACAATTTTTTCTTTTTTTCCTTCTTTACTTTTAAGTACCAGTTTTTGATTTGGGAGTCTCTAGTTGGAAAATAAAGAGGCTTATTTAAGAATTCTAATAAAAAAAAATTAAAATGTACTAGCTTTACAATTGATAATACACAAGGGAGAAGCAAAACAATAAGCTTTTCTGGAATAAAAACAATATAAAGGAATAGTGTATTCTGTACCAAAGACTGGACTATAACCAGATCACTGTGGATTTTTTGTCTTTTTTATATAACAAGAGAATGAATTAGATCTGGAGTTCAGAAATGCTTAAATAAACATTAAGGTGTGGCCACAGCTCTCTTCACAGAGAACAGCAGGCACAACCTTGCCAGGATTTCTCCTAGGGAAGGCAGTGAGAAAGCTAAGAGAAAGAAGAGAAAACAATTCTTATCTCTATTTGCTGCTCCTGTTGTTTGGCACATGTGGAATGTGTTATGGAGATAGTTTGCCAAAAGTGATTTCTTAATTGGACGCTGGTGTTGGTTGTTTCAACCGATTGACCAATTAGGTCAAAGCTGCATCATGACTGTCTGAAAAAGGGTCATGGGTTTTTTCTTGAGTATAGTTTAGTGTAGTAATATAGTATAGTATAGCTTAATAAAGCAATTGTTCAGCCTTCTGAATCTTGGAGTCACTGCATGTCATTCCCTAGCAGGGGGACATCCTGCATCAGCATTAAGGAGATGTTTATTTGGTTTTGTTTTACAGACAAGTTTGCTTTCAGAAAGAGTACCTACTCCTGTAACTGATGCAGACTCCACTTCATCAATAAGTCAAGAATCAAAAACCAGGTAACTTGGTACTTAATTTATGCACATGTATGAGTGTGCAAACTGCTGCTTTAATTACAATTGAAACATCTTGTAACCCCATGTTATTGTTGTAGTTTGATTCCAGCTGGCAGCTAAATACTGTGCAGCCCTTTGCATCCCGATAGCATGGAGAGGGGAATCAGGAAAAAAAAGAAGGGTTGAGATACGAACAGTCTAGTAATTTAAACAAGTCAAATATAGTAGTACTAATAATAGTAATGCTACTAACGATAATGATAACATTAATAGTAATGAAAAGGAGAGAGAGAAGTAGCACACAAGAGAAACAAATGACACACAACTCAATTGCTCCTCACCCTCTGACTGATGCCCAGTTCATCTCTTAACAGTGATTTTGGCCAGTTTATGTACTAAGCATGACTTCCCATGCTATAGAATATCCCCTTGGCCAGTTTGGCTCAGCTCTCCTGATTGTGCTCTCTCATGGTTTCTTGTGAACCTGCTCACTTGCAGAGCATGGGAAACTGGAAAGTTCTTGACTTTGAGAAGTGCTACTTGGCAACAACTAAAATATCAGTGTGTTACCAACCTTATTCTTGTCCTAAATCCAAAAAACAGCACTTTACCAGCTAATTAGAAGAAAACACACTATCCCAGCCAAACCCAGGACAGTCTTTTTTGTCAAAAGGATAGTGGTAGGTAGAGAAACTATCCTAGCATAGGTCTCAGTAGAGCTACAGAATTCTTCCTGGCCTTTGAGAACTTCCTTGGCTTAGAGAGTGGTGTCTGATCTATGTAAAATTGAATTATAGTTGATTCTCTCTGACTAAATAATTTGGTTAGAGGAAATTGTGAGTTAGAAAGCACAGAACAAAATAGCTGTCTATCTTATGCTTTTTATGTGATGCTATTTTAAAATGTTGTTCTGCTGAATCATATTTACACCTTCAAAATATTATGTAGCAAGATTGGCAGCATTTTGGCTGATACCAAGTGAAACGTGTCCTTCCTTTTATACTGAAACTTAATGTCCCTTTATAGAAGTTTATACTCATTAAGATGAGAAATACACAAGTATTTGGGAGTCTGAAAATTCAGGACAATGTTGATTTTCCATTTTCTGCTCTTATTGTGTGAAGCTATTGTGTAAATATAGCACCTTTCTTCTTAATTCCATACCAAGTTCTTGTAGGAACTTTTAGCTCCTCAGATGTGAGTCCCTCATAGTGTTTTTACATTGTTGAGAGGTTCTGTGCCTGTTTTACCAAGATGAACTGCCATGTTATCTTAAGACTGTATAGAGTCAGACTGTAAGTCATACATATGTTTAGGGATATCACAGATCTTTTGGGTTCCCCTTTACATCATCTCTCTCTTCTGTGCTCCTACATAACTTTTGGTTTTCCACACTGAGTTTGAATGTTCACATAAAATGCAGTCAGGTAAATTATCTTTTTCCCCAAATGCTCTTTTAAATCTAACATAAGCTTATAAATTAAGCATAGAGTACAGTGAGTAAAGTACTGTTGTTTTTCAAAGTTAGGAATTGTACTTTTTTTTCTTTTTTCCCATGCTATTTTACATATAGGTTTTAATTACTATTTTGTTACTCTTGCAGCTTGTTATGGGAAGAGACTTTGTTAGATGCCTTGCTAAATTTTTCTACCACACCCAAAGGACTATTTCTGCTTCATAGTACAGATGCCATGAATGACTGTGTGAACTTTATGTTTAACAGTTTATCAAAAAAAATCCAGGTAAGCATTGCAGTCTTTGTAGTTTACTTTTTACTGTAAAGTTTGAAATGCTAGAATTTTTTTTTCTTTTCTTTTAAGTGCAAATTTTCTTAGACAATGTTGGTACATCACGTTGAAATCTAGATAAGCTAGACAAAGCTTGAAATACAAACAAAAAATCAGATAATGTGCAGTTTTAGTCATATAATGTGCAAAAAAGTAATGCCAAAGGCATCCTACACTATGTGTACGAAAACATTATAATACTAATGGTTTTATTTGCTCATATTGCATGTCTCAACCACAGTATTTTGTGCTTAAATTTTTATAAGATACTTGATAAAGATGTTTGGTTAGGAATCTGACCCTGGTAAGTCTGTAGAGGATAATATCTATGAATTGTTCAAATCTAAACATAAAGTGGATTAAATTCTGTAAACAAGTGTAAGAAAGATCAATATTTAAGAGATCATTTGAGAGTTTCATGTCTTCTGAATAACTAACACTGCACTTTTATGCTTCTTATCAACAGACAAATGAATATGAAGATTTTGGTAATAGAATCATTGTTACACAAATGGCAACAACACCAATGGCTGCAGTGGCTCTGCAGAATTCAGGTAAATTGCAGGATGATGTTATTATGAAAAATTGCATGCTGTAGTCCTTCATTTTGAAAGAAGACAGTGGGAAAGATGTTAAAAAAAGATCAACTGTGTAAAATAATTACACAGTATTAACAAAAACTCCTAAATGTTTGTTAATTATTTCTGATGGAAATTAATTCTCTCAAGTTTTTAAATCATTCATTAATCTTGATGCAGAATTTTAGAGTTTGTTTTATTTTTCCTTCAGATATTATGCAAAATTTTTACTTCACTAGTTTGGATTTACAGAAATTTCCTATATGTGTGTGAAGACATCTGTACTGTTTAAAAATAAATTTACAGGTGCTTCTTATTGATCTGCAAATCAGAATTAATAACTGTTGATGTCTGTAATTTTTATGTACATTTCCATGGTTACTGACTGCTCAAAGGGTGAGGAACTGCAAGGGCCTGCATGTCATAGATGAAGTTACACATTAATGAGATGTAAAAGAGATTGTGGTGAGAAGAATTGTCAATTCAGACTAAGTCCCTTCAGAGTCAATCTCAGATAACCCAACTGTTACCATATCATCAATAGTCCAGTTAGCCATTATATTAAAATTAGAATCTCATCAATGAAATGAAGGTAATGTCTTAAGCTGCTGAGGAAGTCCATGAGGTACAAAAGTTGCAAATCATCTCTCTGAGTATCTAGAAGGGGCTGGTGTTGACTGAAAGACTGTCAGAAAGGCAGGCAAATTCTGCCAGTCAAGGAAACTGATTGATTTCTTAGTTAGTTGCTATTTATACCTCTGGGATTTTTTGCAAAGCAGGGAGCAGATCCACTGAGGAGTTACCCATCTGTCCTGTTGTAAGGTTTTCAGCCAAATTGCTTCTTAAGGCCCTTTTGTGCCCTTTGGCTTCAGAGACAAATGATATACCAAAAATAATCAGCATTGATTTTCAACCCTTACATTTGAAGATTTCAGAGTTAGAGGGCTCTTTCCTCTTCTATTTAAATATTTAACATTTTAAATTTTAACAATTTAAATTTGGCTAGTAATGCTTCTCTTAAAGTTAGGGTTTTCTAGTCCTTTTCACTGTGGTCTGTTGTAATTTTTTAATGAGTTATAGTGAATCTGTATTTTTAGAACCACAGAGACAATACTAGCTAAGCCTTGATCCATTGCAGTTAACTTTTTAAAGAAGGTCAGAAGCTCATTTACATAGAAGATATATGAATGTAATCCTACTCTAGTGCAATAGCCTTTGGAAACCATTGGTACAGACTGTAGAATGAACATAAGCAAACTGCTCTAGGAAGGTATTTTGGAGTATTGAGAATAGCAGGGATAGCTATTGAGAATAGCAGGGATAGTAACCCTAAGGCAATCTGGTGAAATTTCAGCCTTCAGTATAGAGAATTTTACACATCTTGGTTAGAATTGTGGTGTAAAATATTTCTAACATGAAACTCATGATCAGAACAAACATTTGTTTTAGGCTTTGTAAAGGCGCTTGTAACTGAATTATGGGCTCTTTTGGAGTGTGGAAAAGATGATTTGAGAATAACCCAACCCAAATCTACTCCAGTTGACCCTATTGACCAAAGTTGTCAGAAGGTGAGAAATTATTTAATCTTATGTTTTTGTATGGAAAGAAACAGTGCTATGGTTCAGATAGGAAGGCACATACCTTTCTGTAAATTTTTATTATACCTGCTTCTTGGCACATGTGTCAAAATTGGTATAATACACTAGTTAAATCATGACTGATACAGGATTCTTATGTTGCATGGCTGTTCACAATGCCAAGGATTAACTATGAAATAATGAATAAAAATCATGGCAAAATGAAGTCTTAAGTGCTGGCCATCAGTTTATGTCCTGATTACTGTAATAAAATCAGGAATTTTAGATTATTCTTTGTCTCAAGATTTTAGAATTAAGTGGTAATGAAATACTGTAATTTTCAAAATTGTATGTACCATATGATAGGTAATAGATATGTCATACACTACTGCCCTTTTAAATTATACAGATGCCTACCAGGTATGCAGTCTTATTTTCGACAGGTATATTTATGTTAAGTTCAGCCTGTAAAGGATAAGAACAAAGTTAATATAGATTGTAAATAATTGCTAACACTTACTTGGTTGTACTTAACAGATTAATATTCCCTGTTGTCCCTCCTTTTTATCTTTCTCTAGTCATTTTTGTTTCTGGTAAACTTGCTAACTTACCCAGCAATTTTTGAGCTCCTGAGTAAACGAGATATACCAAATAAACCCATGTACTCATTCCGTGAAGTACCCACAGATATAATTGTAAGTATTTCGAAGGAAAAATAATTCTGTGAAGACATTTTTACCTGAGAAAATGTTTTTGTTATAAAAGAGTAAGGCTTTTTTCCTATTGAAAGATTTTGAATTTTTCTGCATTTTGTATTATATACAGCATGAGGGCAGTATATGCACATGTCACTTCATATGAACCTAAATTTTCATTTTGAAATCTTAAAGGTAATATAAATTTTGATGCCTGATTTAAAATCATCTTTCCTGACTTGTGTTTTTTCACAGAAAAAAAGTAACATAAATAATCATGTTTGTATGTGCATACAGTTACATATGGGAAAATGTTGGAAAATTTGTATACTTGTACTTTATACAGCATTGCTCTATCACACTATATGTGGATTTAAAAAGAATAAAAGGAAAAAACCAAAACAAAATGAAAACACAAAAGCCTCATACCTCAGGCTATTTTTTAATAGGACACATAATTCACAAAAGGAAAAAATCAGTAATTGGAAAGCTACTGATTAAGACATACTTCAGAGAAATAGCTTCACCATTTCTGTATTTAGTATTATTTTGTATTCAATCATTCTACTGCAGTCAATTATGGCTTTTTTCTCATCTACAAAGCACAGACAATTTGTGACCTTGTGTGGCAGTTAAAATCAGATTTTTTCCCTAATGACTCAGCACTTTAAATTGCTGTTATGTTGAAGTGTTTGTCTAGCATAGGCTCTGGATTGGTGATATTTTAAGTTGTTTAGACAGAGTTTATCATAATAGTGTATATTCGGTTTGGAAGGTATTTTGGGGTTCTTTTATGCAGTACTTTTTTGATGATTTCAAGAGGAAATTGCATGACAAATTTCATTTTTCCAATGTACTCAATGCTAGTGTGTTCACCGATGGATAGCTTTGTTCAGTTATCAAGTTTTTTAAGGAACTCAGAGTGAGGAAGATAAATGTGTGCTGAAAATCATAAGTATTTGAGAGCATTCAAATTGTGGTAGATCTCAAGAAGGATTTTTGCAGCTTTTGAAAGCCAGTGTTATTTTAGCTTTAGAGGCACTTGAGTATTTTTATGAAATTTTCTAGGTTTCTAGAAATGCCAGTACTGATACCATTGTTCAAAGTTCCCTGAGGAGATAAAGATATTTTGGATGAGGTTTGTCTCAGTGAACTACTGTGCAGCAGTGGATTTTGTGGGCCTAGCCATCCAAGATACACGTAGATATGTAAGATAGGCATCCAAAATGATGTAGTTAGCAGAAAGGAAATTGTGAGATACTCTAATGTTAGTTTAACGTATAATGGCTGAGTCTAAGTACTCAGAAAACTTACGAAGTTAAGAAGAGATACAGGTTTGTTACGACTGTGTTTTTGGGCAGTGATACCAGAAAGCAAAAGGTAAAAGATTTTGACTGGATATAACTACAAGAAGCAAAGTAAAAGCAACTTATGTGCCATTGGAAGATTTGATTGGAAGACCTAACTGCTTTGTGTGCCTTATTTTTTCTCTATTTTTGAATTGTGTCGTGTTGCCATGGAATGTGACTTGTTTATGCTAAACTATATTTGCTAATGCACAGAACTTAATCATTTTGGTATATTCTTTATTTCTTGAATACCCAGGATTTAAACATTTTTACCTCCTTTATATTTTTTATGTGACTAGCTATATCGATTGAACAGATTATCAGTTGATAACAACTGATAATAGTGATAGTTGATAACAACTTTCACAATTTTTAACTGTAGATTAATGAGGTTTTCATTTGTGCCCTTAGGGAAATTTTTCTTAATACATGTAAGATTTCTCTTTGCTGTGTTTGGCATGTAAAATTATTTTAGAGAATGGAAAACATAAATGAGGATTTTCTGCCTGCCTCCAGTCTTTGAGGGTTTCTGCAGTGTATATATTCAGGGGAATCTAGTTTGGAAGGTACCCTCTAGACCTGTAGCTTTGAAAGACATTAGAAAAGGTGATTTTCTTCAGTGATTCTAGAGAATCTTAGATGGTTTGTCTTAGATATTCCAAGTAGATGACATCTGACCTGTAATATTTAAGCTATGCTCTGTGGCTGAGCAGTGAAAATCTGTCCACACATTTTTTGGATGTAATCCTGTGTTAGACCTTGTTCATTATCTTCCTTTCTAAAATCCCAAATCAGAGCTTAGTCTCCTTTCTCAGTAGTCCTCTTACTGTGCCTGCTGTTTGTACTCTTTTGCAACTCCAAGCATTGATTTATAAATGAGAGAAGGAACATAATGCCAGAGAAATATCCCTTAGCATTTAACTCTTTGTACGCACAGATATCTGAAAAAATCTTAATTCCCAAACAAATCAATTGCTTGCCTTATCAATTTTATGAGCAGCCTTGAGGTGCAAGTTGAGTTTTTTAATTGAGAATTTTATTGTAAATATACTATGTGGAAAAAGCTGTCTCCCCCAGTGCCTCAGAAATCTAATAGGAAAAGTAGACTTTCACTGTATTTTGAGTAAGAGTACATTCTAGGAAGACAGTTTAATTTGAAAAGTTCTAGACTTTGTGTTTTTTTCTATTGTGAGTTTTACTCGTGATTTTTACTTTTCTCCATTGAAAACCAGAGCTTTTGTTAATTTCAATAAAGTATGGGTATTAGCTTTCCCTTCATATCTTATTGAAATGACTCATTGATCTAATTAGGTGAATAATAACTCCCTCTGCTGTCTGTGAAACTGTACTTATAAAACGTGGAGAAAATAAAAGTTTGTATTTAATTGAGATTAAATAAAGCTCATAAGGATTTTGTAATCTGTTTCTTGTGACCATAACACAGCAATCTCTCTCTGACATGATAACAACACTGAACATGAACAATGTTTTTGTTCATTCCTTAGTTTTTTTAATGAAATAATTTTTTCAGAAGCAGTTTGCATGTGCAGTGAGCCAGAGGGGAAGATAATTGGGTTGGCTTTGTGGAAGAAGTGGGAAGCAGCCACAAAGTCATTGTCTGCTACATGAGATGCTCCAAGATGAAAGGTGTAAACCTCAACATCTGAGCCAAGCCTTGCTAAGCCAAGACTAAATGGCTGTGTCTTGAAGCATGTAGTACTAACCGGTGTGAGAAAGTGTTATTACACTGAAGGAGTTGCTGTTCTCTTTATTAAAATAGACATGTACACACTTCAAACATGCAAAAAAAATTTAACTTTTTTTGTGGCTTAATGCTAAAGAAGAACTAGGATAGTTGACATGCAAGGATCTTTTTGTATGTTTATATTTTTAATAGATTTTTTTTCCTAACCTTCTACATGGTTAGGAAAGTTTTGCCATTTTTGCCTTCAATTTTGCTCTTGACTTTTGTGTGGAAAACACCTCCTGTTACAGAAATAATTTCAGTGTGTGTTTTAATAATAGTTTTCATTCAATAGTAAATATCCCTATGAAACTATGATGTGCATAAATTATAAAAGCCTACATGGTTTTTCACATTTCTCTTCCTTTGACAGGATATTATTGACAGGCTTATAATTTTGAACTCAGAAGCTAAAATTCATTCCTTATTCAATTATGAACAATCCCATATATTTGGTCTGAGGTAAGGTGCATGTTTTTTATTCTCTGGTCACATTAACTAAATAGGATAGATGTGTTACTTCTGACAAGATAACATTGTTTGGGTTTTATTATGTATGAAGGTGAAATTTCCCCTTTTTTACCATAAGATTAAATGAAAAATGGCCTTCAAAATGAGAACAGTGATGGATCTTATCTTATTATCTGTAAATGGATATATTGTAATATGAGAAGCAGTGATAGAAATTGCATGTTATTTTGCCTACTTGACTGTAAAAAACAAGTTGTACATCCACGGTACACCAAAATACCAAAATTATTTTTACTATGTTTATGCCATTTTGGTTTATGTAGTTTCTCTGTACTTAAAATTGTTTTTTAACTATTTGTTTAATTATCACCTATTTCACAAAAACCTAGTTTAAGGAGTGTAGCATTTGGTTCCAAATATTTCTGGAACCTAAAGGTACACTTAAAAGATGCTCATACTGTTATGCTCATGTATTGTAATATTCAGTGCTTTATAATTTTAACATAGAAAATAGTTTCTGCATTTTTATTCTATTTTCCAAGGATGACTATATAAATACTTGAATTCACATTTTTGTTGGGAACTTATTATAGACAGTTGAAATAAAAACCTATTGGATTGTACTTCATAATGTGGAAAACTTTGATTACCTTGCTTGAGCATGATATAGTCCAACTGATTAAGTTCTGAAACCTTAGCTTTTTTGCAGCTTTGTTTTTACTTTAATATCACAATTAAATTATTTCATACTATATATGAATGACCATAAGATACAGTACAATTTGTTGATAAGGATGAGCATAGAGGAGATGAACAATGGCAGATATTGGAGTTGGGAGATATATATGATTTTGACATATAAATCAGAAGTTATAAATGCTGCTTTGGAGGAAATCACGTTTATATAGGAATAAGAAGTCTTAAGATGAAATTTGAAAAAAAAATTGTTCTTCATTTAGGGTTAGACTGTCTCCATAGAAAACTTGACAGAACTTCCATTGATTTAATTAGGATCAAGAGAAAATGAGATGTTTTACAGTTTAAAATAAAGGGTGCTTGGGCACTGGAACAGGCTCCCCAGGGACGTAATAAAAGAACCAACCCTGACAGAGTTCAAAAAAGCATTTGGACAGCACTCTCAGGCATGTGCTGTGATTCTTGGGGTGTCCTAGGGGTGCATGTCAGGAGTTAGACTAGATCCTGATGAGTCCCTTCTAACTCAGGATTTACAGTATTAAGACTTACTTAGAGTATTAAAACCTGCAAATAACTGTGGCCTGTATTACCTGAACATGAGAGGTGTTCATTTCAAAGTTCTGTGATCTTTCCTGGGAATGCTGCTGACTGCAGACATCCATGTTCTGTAAATGAACCTTGCCTTGTGTAGTTGATTTGCTCCTTGACCAACTTCCATCAAGAGTTCTACGTTCAGCAGGAGTTATACCAAATAATATTAGATGCTTAACAGATCTGAAAATGTGGAAATTATAGCAAAAGATCTAATTTCTCTTTGCTGTTATGTAGAAATTAAATATTTATGTGATAATTGCAGCATTGAAAAACAGTATGATTTTGTGAAGCAATTGTCTGGAAACATTTCTGCTAGACCTAATACCAACAATACAGCCAAAGCCACATTCTTTTAATTGTTCACAGATCTACACAGCCATACACTATATATGTGGCTCAACTCAACCCACAGTTGAGTGCTGAACTTCAAATCTGTTTAACTTACAGTGTTATACTGTGAGGTCCTGCTTTTCTTGTTCAAAACAGTTACACATGTAATTGACTGTTAAACAACTTCTGCAATTTAGAACTACATTTTCCTTTGTGTGTATACTGAGCTTCAGTGTCTTAAATTATGTTGGTTATTAGGTGTGCAATTGCATATAAAGGATAAAATACATAGGTATTTCCACAGTCTCTTTAATCCCAAATGCACAGGTATTTGGGATATTTATGTTTGTAATGTTATTACTTCATTTTCTGGTGGATAGTTTTTTTTTCTTTTGAAAAAGCGTGAATTCTGTATTACAATTTTGAAGGACAGTCTGGTAGAGGCTTTGCTGTCAACTTCACTTTTCAAGCTTAACCACTGTAAAGTGGTGTGCATGCAGTAGAAGGCAAACAGAAAACATAAGAAAGCAGAATAGGGTGTGCATAGCCAATATCTCTTAGTCTTTAAAGAATACTCCCTATGGTGCGTTCATATAGATTAGGGTTTGTGTGGTCAAGGGTGAAATACTTAGTTCCACCACAAGCTGTAGCTAATTTCAAATCTGTGGTTCCTTTGGTTTTCTTCTTGTTGTTACTCTTTGGTTTTGTTAGGGTTTTTTTGTTTGTTTGCGTTTTTGTTTTGGTTTGGGGTTTTTTGTTTTTTTATTTGTTTGTTTTTAGGTTCTTGGAAGTATCTTTGCCTAGGATGATTCTTCAGTAGTTTCAGACAGTGATCTGATATTCCATTAATTGAATCTATTATGTGTTTGTGTGATGAGATTTGTTCACTTGAAGGTCCTTTTAAGCTAACTGGAGGAAAAAAAAGGTGTTGTTATCGTTACTATTATGTATTTATTAAAGGGAAACCTTAGGCAAGAAGTTGGAGATAGGAATAGAAATGTCTAAGTATATAGACAGTTCCTAATTTGTCTACAGAAAGATTTTGAAGCTGTCAGTTCAACTTTTAGCTTCAAAGCAGATTTACACTTATTTAGAATTGAGAAGTCTCCCAGTTGGCCAGTATCAGTTGATAAAAGAATATTGAAGGCTCTCTCAGACACTCTTTTGTACAGGCTGAAAATCTGGATGCACAGGAGCTAATGCAGAAATTCTCAGTGGTCTTTCTGTTGTAGAAGGTTCTGAACTTGCCATCAGAGCACAAATCCTACAAAAAGGAAATTAAGAGCAGTAATTAAAGCAATATTTTTTTAACATACTAAACAGAGAGTATTTTCTTAGTTTAATGATCAGCTTTATTTCTCTGATACAAGTATACCCATAAATCTGATTTTAAAAGATACTGCATATGAGAAATACCAGTTTTCTTAAAATGTGACACTAGAAGTCTTTACCATCTCCCTGTTGAGGCCATGCTCTTTGAAGAGCTCTCTGTGTCTAACTTAGATTAAAAAGGAATCTTTCACATTAATGATATTATACATTATCAACACATTTTGTCTAATATTTCAGTACGGTAAATGCATTCATGAGGTTTTACAGCCTGCCAAGAAAATATATGCATAATATATATATTTTCAAGGTCTTTGCCTGAAGGATTATTCAGCTATTTACATATTACTGTTCTCTCTATTCAGAAAATAGGTTTTCTGTGAATGATAGTGACACTGTTTTATTAGCTGGATTAAAGTGTGGCAGAGTAAGAATTTCTAGCTTTGATAGTCAGGTTCCTGTCTCTAAACAGTATCAATACCCCAAAATAAATTAGAAGATATTCAATTAGTGTTGGCTTGAGTAAAAAACAGGAGAAACAACATTACAGGTATATGCCTACACTGTGGGCAGTGGGAAGAGATAAGAGTTGATTTGCAGGCAGATCTGCAAAAATTCCCTTTTACTAAGTGCTTTTGTAACACACTGTTCTTGGAATCTCTTTTTTGTGGATATATGATAAAAAGGCAGTAAGGGGCATTTGAATACTTTAAAGAGGAAAATTAGACTTTTTTCATTTGGCTTTTTTTTTTTTTTTCCCAGTGGCTTATTTTAAGCATAAATCAATAAAACTCCTAAATATTGTGAAGTCAAAAGATCTTTTGTACATACATTCGGAATCAGAAGGACCTTTGTTAGCTCCACACTTGTTCACTAAGGTGCCTCCTGCTAGTGAGCATCAAGCAACTCTGTTAAAGTGTTTGGCCTTCTGCAGGGATATACCTGGAAAATTCTGAGGGTAAACCCTTTTCCTTCAGATATGCAAATTGTGACGGTTTAATTTTAAAGATTCAATGAGTTTGTCTGTCATTAGAGATATCTGAAGATAACCCATTTTGTAGAAGTGTAATTTGAACTGCAATGGAAAATAGATTTATTTTAGGCTTCTCTAAGGCAAGGCTGAAAACCCAGCATTTATTACAATGCTTTATGTGAATAAATGCATTTCTTTTTCTGTGGAATTAAAGAAAATTGTAAATATTAGTCTAAGTCACATGCTCATTTGTATCAGCCTCAGGATTGTAAATCTACTGTCTGCTGCAAATCGAAAAATAATATTGGCTTGTTATTTTCAGGTTTGTGTAATAAAGATTTTGACATTGTTAGGTCACATTCTTTGTCATATAAAATATTATGGTGAATATGTTTTTGTTTATGTTTTCTTGCTTACCAAGTGAGTGTAGAGAATTATAAAAATGCATTGTATCTATTTCTGTTGCCCTAAAAAACTAGCAGAGAAAGATTTAGGAAAGCAAATTTAAATGGCTTATACTCCACTGATATCAAAATCAATGAGCATCTTGAAATTTGCCTTAAAGCAGTATATATCTGTCAAAATTTAATCTAGGGCATTCCAGTGAAATCCAGGTGAATGAATTAAATTTAAAAAAAAAAGTGATAGGCAAAAGATAACTTTGGGAGTTTAGGAAATACAAATAATAAATGTTCCTACATTCTTCTCCATTACTTTGTCAACTGCATTGTCAACACCTCCCTTATATAATAGCATTTTAATAGTGAGGCAGCCTCAGCATGTGAAATAGGTCATTCCTTAATTGTACTTGCATTATGTGTATTATTATTAATTAAGAGAATGTGTGATTTTAATGATTGCAACACAGTGCTGTTTTATATTTAGTCTCCCTTTTCCTTTCTCTTTATGAAAAAGCATCATGAGTAGCAGAATCCAAAGGTAAAAGGGGACAGGGTCTGGATTAGCAGTGACTCCTAATGGTGGGGATTTGCAACAGAATTATGCGAGAATGCTTCCCCATTATCTGTGATCATGGAGTTACACAGTTAATTCAATTTTTTGCTAACTT